CCATGGAAGAAATACTAACCACATCATTGGAGTCATCTGATGGCCCCGTAGAAAATTTTAAAATTAGTTAAAACTGCAAGACATCCAAAATATACATTAGTGTAGACATAGGGAAATATTTTATGCTATAAAGCCTTAGTCAAATAGTTGCATATTGAATAAGCTAGAGTTATCAATGCCAAACACCTAAAAAGGGGAGAAGAAAGAAGAATTAACCAAAGAAAGAGACTAAAGATAAAGAGGGTAAACTGCGGTTTATAGAAGAGAGAACAATACCTCTTCTTAAATGCCTATTTTGTCCCCAAGGCTTGATGTAAATCTAATGATTTATTACGAAAGAAGTCAAAAGTCAGAACACAAGATATATGAGTTTAAAATGCATGCAACACAGACAGACCTAGTACCGTGCTGGGACAATGACAATGATAGAGCCACGATACATGTGAAATGAAAATCAACTATGAAGGAAAGCAAGTGTTTTTATTACATTTGAGTCTAGATATACTAACCAATTGATTCTGATGACAGGACACTGGAAAACAATCCAGTCTCTGATGCCTTATCCCCAGATAAAGTTGCACTTGACAGTGAAGATGGAAGAACAGTGTTAGGGACAAACCCAGTCACATCAACAGTGCTATGACAAAATACTTCTCTTGCGGGTGAGTTTTCATTTGAATCCTCGAGCAAAAAGGATCCACTTAACGGGAACTTGCTTGAAAAATCATCTGTTTCTACTACGTTTTTCTCAGAAGATACAACTGAACATGAAATTTCAGTAGACCTAGGAGCACTTGAATCAATTAAGTCCAATGACCGAACTCTGGTGGAGGAAGTTAATCTCGTCTCTGAAACAACACTGTTCTTCGATCTGGGGCAAAATTCTGGTTGATGGCGAAGGTGGTAGCACCATAAGAGAAAAAAAACTCAGCCAAATCACTAGGGCTACACAAAGATACGGTGTCAGATGAGTTTTCATTTGAATTCTCAACCAAAAAGGATTCTCTTGAGGACATGCTCTTAAAATCAACTAAGTCTACCATGCTTTTCTCAGAGGATATCATTGAACTCCTCATTTCAGTAGACTTAAAAGAGCAATTGAAGAATCAGTGACACACTTCGAGTCCCCTACAAAACTAATAGGGAAAGTTATCCCATTGTCATTTGATTGAAGGTTATCCCTCTCAAATTCCCTCTGCGTGCTCTCCTCTTTCTTCCAAAGGCTCTTGATTCTTCTCTTTTTCCCTGGATTGTAATCTTTTTCCTTCTCTCTGTTCCTGTATTCATGAGGCTAGGGGACTCTTTCTGAACCCAGCCTCCTTTCTCCTTTCGAATCTTCTCACATTTTCTCCATTTTCCCTCTCAATCCATGCCCTGGTTTTCAGATCTGGTCGCTCGGGTCGGTTCTCTCTCACTCTATCTCCATATCTGGGTTTGATACCCAGGAGTGATTTTCGGTTTCTCTAGCTTCTTGGCCTCAACTATGATAGCGGCTGCCATGGAAGCCAATGCCAATGCCAGACCCATTTCAATGCCCTTCAACGACTGGAACGAATTGCTTATCCAGCTCTGTTTGGCTCCAACAATTAATACAGATTTCTCATGGGTTATTATTTCGTAGAGATTTTTCACAACTCTATTTGAGAAGAAAAACAAAGTATGGAAGAGAAAGGCTGGGGAGAGATGGGGGATCAAAGATGAAGAATTGAGAGGGTTGTGCAAGGGTAATTATGCAATTTTATAAACTATTTTGGATTATAGGACGACATTTCTTGATGATGACTGCATTTCCTCATCCACAATTGAGTGGTTGCTAATTGCCATGCATCTTCGTTCCTGGAAATATCCTCCTGACTTTCTCTCATTCACTTGCCTCCTACTTTAAGTTCTTCCTTCTCCATAATTGGCTCCGTCAACTTCTCTCATTGGAATCAGAAAGAATCATTCTTGCAATTGATACTTCTAATTGAATCAGCTTTGTCATCACTGTCCAACTTCCTTTCTGCTAGCTGCAGGTACACTCTCTTGCTATTTAGATCTTCAATCTCGATTTTGTTATGTATATATATATATATATATGAACTCTATTTTTTTTTTTAACGCAAATTGAATCAGCTTCTTCATCACTGTCCAACTTCCTCTCTGCTAGCTGCAGGTACACTCTCTTGCTATTTAGATCTTCAATCTCGATTTTGTTATATATATATATATATATATATATATGTTCTCTTTAGACTCTGAATA